ACAAATTTAGTTGTTAAGTAGGAAAATCTTAAATAAAAATTATATATATATATATAGTCTATATGTGTATTTAAAAATATATAATGATAATATATATATAATGTGCAGTATAAGGCAGTACTTAACTGCAGCTTCTGAATCGACTGTTTTTATTGAACACTTAAATTATTCTTGAATTTCATGTATTTTAGTATCTTTTTTTTCATCAAAAAAGTTATATAAAAATATTTGTATATATATTAACAACTTAGCGACTGAATTTATTATGTAATTTTTGTAAATATTTGTATTAATAATATTGTATTGTATTTTAAATTAAATTTTTAAAAAATGCTTAATTTAATAAATTATAAAATATTTTGTTTTTATTATTGATTATTATAATTATTTTATATACTAAAACGAAAATATTTAAAAAATACAAATATAAATTAAATTAAAATAAAAGTATTTTGTGTATTTAATTTCTTTCATCTTTGCAATTTTAATATATTTAATGTGGGTCTTAGGCTGTCAAAAACACCCGCGAACTCTATATCCCTTGATATTGCAATCAGACTCCAGCAACAAATGCACCCAATTAACATGGAGTAACCACCTCATGCCTGGGTCGCAATATATCTTAATTAAAGCTCATTAAAGAACATAGAATAGAACAGATTAAATTGAAATAGAGATAATAAACTTTTGTAAGAGCAAAACAAATTATAAGAGTCTGCCCTAAGATAGCTAGTTTATATAGCAAGTGTATGCTTTAAGTAAATATCTTCTCAAATTTATACCGTCTAGATGTATAGATACTAACCCTTTCATAAACCCTCTATTGCTGAGTGTCTGATCACACAGGAATCAGTGATAATGAATCTGCGAACAATCTGCAAGGTAGGATCTACCATTCAACTCTGTGGAGCCATATTGCGGATTAAGTTGGTATACAACTAGGTCTCTGATTAAAAAATTGTTTTCAACCGAGAGAAGTCGCTGCTGGCGCGACATTCCAGGTAACCGTCAGGCTAAAGAGTTGTTTTATCCCTACAGTTACGGTTCCCTACAGTCTGTTTTTCTTCAGAAGAACAGAGTTCAGCTTGCTGGAGGGATATTTAACGGATCACTATAGGCTGTGTTATCAACTTAACAAAATGGGTCTGTCAGAAGAGTTAGATTATCGACTCTGCCTAAAGCAGACGAGATTTCCAGTCACATTCTCTGTGACTTCCCAGCCTTGATCTGGACCAGAAGGAGCTCATTGGATCAAGAACTACTCTTCCTTTTTGACATTAGGAGGTACTATTTTATTTAATCAATTTAAAAGGTTTTAAATTATTTATTAATTAATTAATATCTCAATGAGAAATACATTATTTATGTTTTTTCTTTTAATATTTTATTTAAATTTATTTTTTATGAACATAGCAACCTTTATTTGCAGTGGTTTGAAAAGTATTAAAATAAATCTTAAGGGTTTGCTGGTTGTCTACAATATTTTAATAATAATAATAGAAACATATCGTGTACACTTTTCCTGATATGGGAAGAGTAAGTATTTCATTTAGGTCTCCATTGAATGAAACACATTAACTAATTGAATACATTTTCAATATTATCTGAGCCTGAGTTTAATTCTGATGAAATACGAATAATAGTAGATATAATATATTAAAATCTATTCACATACGTCACCTTCTTGCGTTACATTTATATTAAAAAACAATATTTGAATAAACATAATGCTTTTAAGTAGCTTTAAAATGCTATTTAACAGTAACAAAAATTAAATTTTTTTCAAACTTAAGTAGAAAACTATTTTTAATATATACCAAAAAGTATATAACGTAAATATTTCTTGAGTAATTATATAATTATATACACATATATGATACATATAATTACATATATATTTGTTTAAATTATTTATATAAATTATATATACTATTGTATATAATATATACAAGGTCTATAAGACATTTTTTATTGACCAACGCAATATATTAAAGTAAAACGGTCTTATTTTATATTAGCTCCACTATTAGAACTTGGTCTGACAGTAATACGGATTCAAATGAAAGGCTTATAATATCAAAATGTAGTATATTTATCAACTTTCACAATCACTCTCAATTTTTTTTGAAAGTACCATCATTTATATATATTAAATATTTTACACAATATTAATGCTTTCTAGTGGCTCGAAAATAATACATTCAAGCACTAAAAATTGTACGAAAAACAAGTTAAAAAAATACAAGCTGTTTTGAATATCAAACGTTATGTCCAACGCTGGATGAAACATACTGAATAGCCATACTTATTAACTTCCACTCTTGTCCGATTCCAGTGGGTAAACAATCACTCTCGTAGTCAAAAATTTAGTTCGCAGGAGGCTTTCAGATGAAAATTAAATAATTAATTTGTATATATATACATTTGTATATATATAGTGGTGTTCGGTTAATTTCGGGGACTCGATTTTTAAATTTTCTATTTGAAAAAGATTTTCATAAACCAACATTATTATTAACAAATTGCAGATGTTCAATATAATATTAAAATATATTTACATTTTTATTAGGCATGCTTAGTTTGATATTAATAGGTTAAAAGTTAAAGTTTCAAATTTGTGCTAAATATTTGCAACAGGGCAAGTTTAATTGTTGAATTCGAACTGTGGAATCAACTGACGCCTCATTATTTACAAGTAAGTTCTTTTTTTGATTTGTCAGCTCCGTGTGTATGTATTTTCGATATATACAAAACCAAGTTGCACCTTTAATATTCTATTTACCCATTTAGTATTCGGCACTTTAGTACAAATTTAGCATCCTAAATAATGATTTTGATTGCGCCTATTAAAATTATCAGAGATGCTCTTTGAAAATAAGACCAAATAAATTAGAAATTGTTTATACTTTTTCTGCAATTTTCCTTATTTATTTTTTTTAAATTTTTAAGAAATTATTTAATAATAATAATTATTACAAACACTTTTAACTACCATATTTTAAGCGTAAGCCGTTTAAATGACAATCTTAGTTAAATTTTGTATTTAACAGACGGAAGAAGATGACTAGCCTTAATTTTAATTAAATTAAAATTAATTTAAATTAAAAAATTAAAACAAATATTAAGAGCGCAATTATTACTGAAAATTTTTAAAAATTTATAGGAATAAAATTTTATCCTCACTAATAATTTACATATGCCATAATTACAGTTTTAGAAGGTTTGGGCATTTTTATAAAACTTGCCAAACACTATAACTCCAGTTTTCAAAGGCTTGGAATTTTTTAATTTTAAGAAGCAAATATTTCACAGTTTGTAGGTTTTTGTGTAACACCCTTTAAAGGTCCAGAAATTGGCTTTGCCAAAAACCCATCATCAGTGGCATTTGTTGATTTCATTACTTATATTTATGGTATAGGCTTTTTGGTTATCTTAGTGTTACATGAAGGTCATAATACAGGTCTATATTTCTATATCTTCAACTTGGTAGATCTCTTTAACTGATCAGTAATCGACAAATTAAATCGAGTATAAAATGAAATTATAATGTTTTTGAAACCAATGTTTAAGATGATCCACAGTACTTCTATTTAACGGTAAAATTACCATGGCTGTAAGCTCGTCACATTAATAATTCCTTGTTAATATAGAGTTACGAAATTTTTGTATGCAGAACCGTTAAAAAACAAAAAAACTCGGCTACTACTTATATTTAAAATATGATAAAGTTTCTAATTTTTCCGCAGCATCCACAATAATATATATTTTTAAACAAAAACTCTCAAACTGTGTATATTAAGTTCAGCATGGAACCATAATATTTACAGCAGCATTCAAACTTACTGATGTACTTATACACTGCTAAAAATTCGTAGTACTAAAAAATTATTAAAAAATTTTTATTGAAAGATTTTTGTTTTTATATAATTTTCAATTGTTTATTATTTATTTATTTATTTCTATTTATTTGATATTTTACATGCATTACAGAAGTTTTAATTTACAAATTTTAAATATTTTGTTGTAGTTGCAATGATAATTTCCTAATTGTTCTAATAAAATCTTTATCTGCTTAATACGAGTATAATATTGCCTAGCTTAGTGTAAATTTAAAAAATTTCTAGAGTTACAAAATGATATTTTACAAAATGTTTAATAAAAATTAAATGCTTTATGGGCAGAAACAAAAAATATACATTTACATTAGCATCAATATACAAATTTTTTGTAAATAATATGTATAATAAGTAATAAAAATACAATATATAGAAATCACTCCATTTAAGCACTAAGAGATTTTAGACTGTATACAATTTACATATATAAATACACAAGTAGTGAAATAGAGTTCATTTTTAACAATTATAATACAAACACGACACGATAAAATATTTTACATATTATACAAATCGAAACTTTAAATATACACATATATATATGTATATATATTAGTTAATTTTGAGCTTAGTTTATATATTATTTTACAGTATCGCAAATCAGTTGATAGTACTTAGATTAGTTAATTTATAAATTTAGCTAATATATAATTATAATTGTACAATTTTTTATAAAAACTTTTATATAAATAATACTAATTAAACAAATTAAAAAATTATTATATATTTCACCACTAAACAGTATTGCTTTGGAATGTTTAAAATTATGAATAATAATAACAACATTAACAATTTTTATTGTTATTGCCTTTCCTGCTAAAAGATTTTTATTTTTTTAATATTAGAATAATATTTGGGTTCATATTTAGAAAAAAAATTAAAATTATTTATAATAATTATCGTTTTGTATTACAAACAAATCTCAAGTTATGTGTGTATAAACTAATTTTAATAATAAAACAAATCACAATATTCTTATATGAATGAATTAATTATAAAGTATTTGGAAATAATTTTTTTTATCAGTATTACTAGTTATACTATATTTAAATCTAGTTATATATTTATATATATATATTTAATTTCAATAAAATGTTTTGTTTGTTTTGAATTTCAATATAATTTTCTTTTATAAACATTATGAGTATATTATATCGGTAAATATGTATTGCATGATCGCACCCAAAAGTAAAAATATATATAATAATACATTAAGAAAAAGGGATGACTATATACGCTCATGATATATTGAGCACTTTTGAGCTGAATATATTATTTGAAATATAAACATTTGTATTTATTCTTGAAGTGATTGTGTATTTAGTTCAGAGTTAGTCCTAAAAACCTGATGAAATTTATAAGAAAAGTAGAGTTAAATATGATGTTATGATTAATTAATCGTAGTATCAGACCAGAACATAAAATTTGTTAGATTTGATCAAAAAGTCGTGTATGCTGAGTACTTTTAAGTAGCCGGTAAATACTAAAGGCAGCCTAGCTCACAAAAAGACTTATATCAGATCAGTGGGAGCCCATCTCAAGAGCTCGGTTAAGTGTTTAATATCACAGTTTAAGAAACACGCTGACTATTAAAAAGGGGCTTATTTTGGATTGGTGATAGCCCATCTTACTTAAACTTTTTATGTAGGCCCATTTCTTCCTCACTGCTGCGATAGTAGTAATTGAAAGCCGGTTGAAATACTTAGTTTTCCAACTTTTTTTGTTACAAAGTTTTGATATTATATATTTAATATATTATATCGGTCAGAATATAGTGAATCAAACATTTTTTCGGACAGGTAATTTGAGGTAAGAGTGGCGACTTTGGACTCTAAAGCCTATTTATGCAAAAAAATGGACCATTGTTAACAATGGAAGACGAAACATACGAGTATTACTTACAACTATTGAGCAGTAACTAAGAGTAGCTTTTATAAATTGTTTTGATACTTTTGTACCAATAGATTTCATTGTAAATGATATTAATATTTTAATTAGAAATTTATTATCAAAGTTAACTATAAACTTCTTGTTATTTAATAGATCTTTAGTAACTTGACATGAGATTTGTAAACATTTAAATAAGACTAAACGGTAGAAGCTGTACTCGTCAATGTTCAAGACTGATTAACTATTGGCATAAAATGCTAAGACTGGCACAAACAGATGCACATGGATTACGTTTGCATATAAAGACATGTGATATACAGTGTTTCAAAATACATTTGTGAAAATTGGGAAACTAGACAGCACATACAGATGAACATAGCTTAATAACTTTGATCTATATAGTTAATCGATAACATACATATTTTATAGGATTTCAATGTCTCCTACACTATTTTATAAATACATTAATAAAGTTAATGGAATGGTATAAAAATGTGTAAAATTTTAAATATTCATGCATTACACTTAGCTTACTACTTGCTTACACTTACAACTATTCTTACATTTAAACTTAACATAAACATATAACAAAAATGTTTAAAAATTATAGTAATAAAATATCTACGAGAATTAAAGCATCTAACTGACATGCACCAACACACGCTTGAATAGCAAATCTGCAATTATGGCACCACTTAAGAGTAGGTGTTTATGCGCACCCAAACCACATGCACTGCACACCATAACATCACGTGGGTACTTGTTCGATGGTGGGGCCTCTTCACGGAAACGGCATTCCTGCTTTCGTGCGGCAAAATAATTGCCGCACAACTCATGGCATGGTGGACAAATTATGGCACCCTAATGTAAAAAGTAAACATTTAAAGCACATTATACCGATTATGTTAAGCTTATATATGAATCATTTTATACCTTATGCAACCACCCATTTGCTAATATGCGAATTGACAATTGCTGCCCTGGAAAATAGCAGGTATATGAGTAGTTACCGACAATTATATTTAAACGTCCGTCGATGCAACTGTATTCGTAGCAGCCAGAGCCCCAATGTTGCCATTCACGTGTCTGATGGCATGAACGTTCCTCCCACATGGATTCACTGTGATCAAAGCATTTCGAGCCTTTGCCATAACTCTCCAAAGCAAAATTTTTTTCTGGTTCTATAAACCCAATAAAAATTTTAATTAAATTGTCAAAATATTGTTTGGATTTATTTTATTCACAACTAAATCCATCGAGTTTTAAAGAAAAAATCCATCGAGTGGAGTAGAAAATACGACTTACTTGGATTATTTTCAACAAAACGACAATGTGAGCCGCGTACTATGATATTCTTATTCCTCCATGTGAATTCTTGTATGTAAGGGCAATGATCCGCAAGTGAGACGGAACCACCATAATAACCCTCTTCACCATCTCTCACATTGGTGAGGCTATCAAAATTCTAAAAATTAAGATTAAAAATGATTATTATATACAGAGTGCAGTAAGATGTTTAGAATATTAAGAATTATCAGTTAAAGTCACTAGATATCTAAATTTCTTACTCTAACATAGCACTTTAACATATCTATTCCACTATTTTCATTTGACAACATTGTCTTGCTTACCTGGTATTCTTTTGGTAGCTCATAGTCATGCTTTATGAGATTACACAGCGCCACAGAGTTGCGATCGTCTGTACACTCAGTTTGTAGTGGATCTTGTTTCACTTTCGAACAGAATGGATGTATGGAACGTCCCCTAGGAAATTTATAAACATTAATTTATAACACAAATTCTTTCAAATTTAAATATAAAAAAATGTTAATAATTGCATGTATTTAGAAATGTGTTAGAAAGTCGTACCGCATCCATTTTTCGTTGCCATTTGGTAAGCTGTTAGTAAAACATGTTAAAAATATATATGATTTTTTAGTAAATTGTAGCTGAGACATATGAGCGCAGTTCTCTAGTACTTACCTGCCATTATTGGTTTGTATCCAATCTTTACAACTGCGCATAACAAAATTACAACCTAACCCCTTACCCCAAGTAATGGGCGTGGCCATGCTGTAATTAGCGCGATACCAACCAGAATCCTCCATAAGTGCTAAAGTGATACGTGAAAAAACAGGTGATTGGGTATGTGTGCCAGTCATTGCTTCATTTTCTAGTATGCGTTTCTCCCAGTGCGTTAATGCAGTGCCTACAAGTGTTGCCACACACGTGTAATGTTAACACACTTATCAATGAATGCAAATGATTCTTTGCTACTTACCATCGCCACCTTGATCTTCCAATTCAGCTCCTTCCAATTTGAGGCAATCAAAATGTTTACGTACCTCTGCTACCACACGTGGTGTTACCATCATATTGAACTCTCTACGTATGAATCCGCCACGCACTGACCAGTTTTTGCGCACTACTTTACGTATCGTCTCGTTGCTCCACTGGTGAATTTGTAAACTTGATACCAAAAAAAAAATGCGAAATTTGAGTTTAAATTTTAATAAAGCAGAAAAACAATTTTAATAATTACTTTTCATTCAGGTGAGGTTTCCCCGTGTCTGGTTTGCGCGGTGTTCGTGGCTTTCCTTCATCATCGCGAAAAAATGCATACAAACTCACTGAGAAGCCCAAGGCATGCAAGATTTCATGTTTCACAGTCGATATAAGCGTTTGCAATTCCTGCGGTTTAGTGCTGATGCTATCAGGACAGAGATTTGCATGTCCCGCTATGGGTCGATCCAATTTAGCCTCCTGTTGGCAATGCGCTGCATACGCCACTGTCAGTCCTTTGTGGCAACGCTCCGTTTGTCGTGCAGAAACATAAAACACAAAGTCAGCATTCTCAATGCCTTCACCTGCGTCAGTGGTCTCGTCAATGCGACAATTTTGGCCAGTTGAATTGCAAACACGGCACACCTAAGCATGATTGAGATTGATGAATTATTAATTCAAATGAATGAGAATATGCTTAATTAATTCTATTTGAAATTCCAAGACAGCATTGACTTACATTTAAATGCTGCTCAGGCACCACAACTTCCCCACACATCGTAACATCTTTGCACTTGTCGATGCAGTGCGTCTCTCCGTCCTTCACAAACACTTGTGTGCTGTTACATTTTCTTTAATAAAATTAAAATCGAAAAAATAAATAATTGTGGTCGGCTACTTATTATATGTATGAATATATCAAATTTATTCCATCAACTCACCTATTCAGTTTTATGACACCCTTTGTTTGCCGCACCATTAATGCCTGCTCCCAAAAGTGCACAGCTTCAGGTAGGACGGTGTTCTGTAATTAAAAGCATCAAATTTCACTTCAACATAACTGAAATCCTTGATAATGCCTAGTTATATAAAATATGTACTTACGTTGATGAGATTGAATTTGTCAACGTCTAGTCTGAAAGAGATAAAGGGTTAAAAAGCAATGAGTCTCAAAGTGCATATTTTGTCAAATTTATTTTTATTGTTATGTCCAAAGGATTATATTTCTATCATAATGTGTTAGTGTTGAAAAATTATATTTAATTGTTTATAATAAACAGATATTAATAGATTTAATAGATATCCACTTGATAACTTGAGTAGAGTCTTTGACAAGTACGTTAAAGGAATTCATACACCATTACTATATACATTATATATATCCCAATAATGGGAATAGACACTGGGAGCCAAATGTGGAGAATATGGTGGGTGAGGAAGCAATTCGTACCGTAATTCATTTCATTTTGCCGCGGTTTTCATTAATGTATGAGTGGCTGCGTTATTCTCCAAAAACAAAATTTTTTTCTTGGAAAAATGCTATAGTATTCTGATATTATTGTTTTTCTTTGCATAGTTTTATCAAATAGTCTATGAAAATTATTCCACTTGAATCCCAAAATATGGAAGCCAAAATTTTTCCAGCCAATTGTTGAATTCGTGGACGATTTAGAGCACTATCTTCGTGCTTTCCCCATTCTCTGGCTTGTTGTTGTCTCTCAGGTGTGAAGCAAAGGATCCATGTTTCCAATGTTTTGAATGTCGAAGTCCTTGTCGTTTTTGGTCAATTGTGAGAAAATGCGGCACTAATCCTGCCAGAAGATTTTTCAAACCCAAATATTCATATAAAATATTCGTTACATGTTCATATGATATGTTTGTCATCTGTACTATCTGACGTAATTTAGTTTTTGGATTATCCAACACAATATCGTGAATTTTTTCAATTTTTTTAAGTTGTGACCTCTTTTTGGACGACTCAGACACTCTTCATCAAAAATACTCGTACGACCACAATATTTTATAGCTTTCCAATAGTTTATTATTGTTAACGATGTATTGTAGACACCCATATATCTACAATGCTTATGAAATTAATTTAGAGTTAGATAACAAATTCTAGTATTCTTTTGGTTTTGGTCTACGTTAAAGTAAATGTAAGTTTAGCTTTCATAGAAATATTCGATTCAAATCTACTGAAACGTTAACTATCCTCATCAAGGGTTGAGATGAGTAAACAGAAAATAATTTGATACGTTTGAGTGGTGAAAGTTTTGCAAACCACCACGACCTCAAAACTTTCTGAGTTACTAAATGCATTTTCGAGTACCGAGATTTATTGGATAAATGTTTAGCAAAGTTCAAGGATGCAACGAATGACATTTCTTTGTGATCTGCTAACTCTATTTATAGAGGCCACTATTTACTTTACAAAACTTGAACATTTGTGAGTCAATAATGAAATAGGGGAAAACCAAATTAAATATAGGTACTTGCATTATATCTAAAATTTACTTGCAATTGAATTCGTACTCAAGGAAGCAAATGTTCACCAAGCAATGACCCTGTTCCAATATAAATTTTGACGCAATGCCGTTTAATCGAGGCGGTCTGGGCAATAACTTTTGTGTGAATCATTTGACATTTTATGGCTTTCAACGCTAAATATTTTGCATTTAGCGCTTATTAACAAGTTAAAAAACGTAATTAAATTTAATTACAATTATTTTTCATAATTATACTGTCTGCTTCAGCCAAACTGAATTGAAGCATAGAAATGTATTTAATAGATTTTAAATTTAAAATTTTAATTAATAATTAACGCTATAAAATTTAATAGATCGTACGTTCAAAAATAATATTTAATTAAAGTAAAAAGAGGGATTAATGTGTTGGAAAGTCATAAAAAAAAATTCAAGTTTAAATATTTTTTTTTCGAAATCACCTTTAAACACTCAAAGTGCAAAAAACTCGTTAAAATGTCATTTAAAAAAATTTGTCAACTAAAAACCAACAAATAAACAAAAAAAAAAAAAATAAAACAAATACTAATTATAAAATTTATTTAATTTAAAATGTGTGTTGAGTGCTGGTGTTCCTCCACATTTTGAAATTTTAAGTTGTTTTTACTTCATAGTTTGTTTTAATACAGATACTTTTCGCTATGAATTATTTATTTGTATCTAAGAGATACAAATTACGTATATCAACTACGTGCTTCAATTCGAGCTTAAGGTAAACTCACTTGTAAACAGAATCATCGTAGAATAACAAAATCCGCAGTGGCTGTTCCCCGACGCTGCGCTTGTGTAGTCTATGAGCCGCTCCTTCTTTGTCTGCGCTGCTGTTGTGGCTTGGCGGTAGCGATTCCTCCATTTCAATCTGCACTCCATGCACAACCTAAAACAGCAGAAGAAAAAAAAAATTAAGTTACTAGATTAAGATACTTTGAAATAATGCAAAACAAAAACTATCAGAAGATATTTAATAAGCAATACGTCATGTAAAGCAAGAAAATTGCTTGGATTAGTTTTTTTTCGTTTTTTATTCTTGAGCTAATAAACAAAAAACCTAAACAAAAGATTCAAAATTGCAAAATGTCAAATGGTACGAAATTTGCACATTGCCTTGGAAAATGCTTGATAACCTCCATAGAAAAATTTTGGTTGGACTGAGAGCAGCGCTGCTTTATTTACCGCCTGAATAGGTTATTGAACCAAAGACCAACAACCAACGACGACTTCGACGATTTATGCATGCTTTAGTTTATAAAGAGATTATATTTTATTTACATGAAACAAATCTCGGAAAGTAGGTCACTTAGTAGAAACCAAAATATCGAAATTTTAATAAGTGAAATAATTCACGGATATATAGTAATTGGCTAATGATATAATAAATAGGAGAATATACTTAAAATTTTGTTAATAAAACTAACAAAATTAATTGCGGAACTAATTTTTTAGTACCTCTTCGGAGCCACTCTTTCTCTATACACTGTGAAATTTGGTTAATTGGTAGCACTGTTCTCTTTTTATTACCTTATTTATTTATGTCTTATTTTTTCAAATTTAGCTAATTAACATTAGTTAAATTAACATTTTCAGATTACTGACTACAAATACAGATTTCTATTATTGTAATTTTTTAGTACAGTTAGGTAGCACTTTTTAACATAAACTTTGTACAGATATACCCTACAGATTTTTTTGTAAACTTTTCTTTCATTTTTAGCATTTATGGGGTTTCAAGTAGAGTGTCAGCGTAGTTTAGTAGGTAAGTTTATTCTATAAGTAGAATATTTTTAAAATCTAACTTAATTAATTCGGTAGAAGCTGAAAGCCTTCTTCATAATTTAGTAAACTGCAAGTATTGGTAAGAAAGGTACAGATTTCTATTAAACATATTACCTGAGTGAGTTTGATTTCATCAAAACATAGAGTATTCGTTATTATGGATGACATCACTATAAAATGGGCAGTTAAATCAAGACAAAATTGCTTTTAAGCAAAGGAAGACTATGAAATCAATGGTTTTCAAAACGTTTTATGTACAATTGATGTTTCATCCATTTTCAATGGATCAAAACACATTAGAATGTGTCTTTGTCGGAAACATTTGTATGCCATTGTATGCCATTCAAAAAAAAGTGCCTTTTCAGCTCCGAATTGATATTCGTTGAAAAACTATATCCAACAAATAGGTAAAATAATAAACTCAGATTATTATTGTGAGTTTTAGACCAATTAAATATAGAAAAAAAAATTATTTTTCATAGAGAGATTTCAACTGAGAATAGTACGTATTTAAATATAGAAGAATATATTTAATTTAAAAAAAATGTAAATGTGAACAGTACTTATATAAATATAGAGATATATATTTAATATAGAAAATTATAGAAGAGAAATCATTTTTTTTTAAATACAGAAGAATATTTTGTTAACATTATAAAAAAATTTTTGAAAAAAAATTTTGTTCCATAGAGATGATGCAGCTGTGAGTAAAGTATAAATTGCTACAATAACAAGATTATCCCCCACATTAACCACTCTCTGAAATTTAGAGGGAGACCTACTCCCATCTCCAAAATTTCTTTAATAGATAACGATTTTTAACAACCGAAAAAATAGTAATTAACACAAAAAGGGGATCTTGCAGGTTTTTATTAAAACAGTGATATAGTTCATACATTGGCTGATTAGTTATAGTAGAAAGATATAGTTATATAGTTATAGTTATATAGTTATATAGATATAGTTATAGTTGAAAGAGATTTTACAAGAACATGCATTTTTTTTTACAACCAAATATTCTCTAGTGGACCTAGTGGACGTTTTTATTAACTTTAAAAGGATATAGTTCTGTTGCTCCCAATTTTTAATATAGTTAAACCTGAAGTCTTATATCAGACAATAAGTCCTCAAACTAGCACATATATAGCAGTACTGTTGATAAGTACTGTGATATAAGATCACAAACACGGATCTATATAAAATCAGAATAATATAAAAATATGCAATAAATAATGTTTGTATAAAAAGAACAGTATTGAAAATTTAACAATGAAAAAAAAAACTGTAATTAATTAATTCAATTTTTCTAAAGCTGGTTTATGGTTTTGTTCTAATAGAACAAAGTAAGTGAATTTGTTAATGAACTTTCACAGCAAATTAACAAAACTACAAGTTAGAACAAATAAGTTGACTACGGCTTTGGGTTAGTTGGCTAGAGAACACTGACTCTGAGCGCTGAATTTGATAGGGTGCAAGTATAAGTATAAATAAATATAAATTATTGGTCCTAATAAAGAATATAATAGAAATATATATTTATATATTATCTAATAAAAAATAATATTAATAAAATATTATAAATAATTCTCTAAATTACAAGTTAGAACAAACAAGTTGACTACGGCATTGGGTCAGTTGGCTAGAGAACACTGACTCTGAGCTCTGAATTTGATAGGGTGCAACTATAAGTATAAGTAAATATAAATTATTGGTCTAAATAAAGAATATAATAGAAATATATATTTATATATTATATAATAAATATATTTAATATAATATAAAGTTATAAATTTAATAAGTATATAATATTTATTTGTATAAAAATTAATAAGAAATATTTCCAAAAATATCATTGGTGGTGAATATTTGGTTTTACTCGAAACGGGTAGTCAGTCAAAAATGCAATTATTTAAAAATAAGAATTTTGTGGTTGTAATTTTTAAAAAACAAAAACAAAAAAAATATAAGGTTATATTATATTTTTCTCCAGAAAGTTCACGGATTTGTTTTTAGACTAAAGTTTGTGATTTGAAGTTTATCAAATCATATTCAGTAGTCATGAAATGACCTTAGCTAAGTCGTAGCAACAGTAATTCACTAATAAAATATAAATAAATTAAAAAAAAAATAAATAAAAACAAGTGATTAAGTCTAAGTGAAAACGTTAGCGTATATAGTTAACAAATATAATAGGAAATCTGTAATATGATTATAAGTGCTTCTGAATTTTAATTAGCTTAATTATCATAAGTTGATTACAATTCATTTTAATTACGAATGCCTTAGAAACGTCAGTTTAATTACAAGTTGCAAAGTGAATGTATTAAAACTGAACTAATAAATTTTATAAACATTAAATACTTAATTAATTATTCTCGCAGTTAAAACTAAACAAGTTCTATAAACTATAGACTTTTTTATTGCAGTTCAGTTGTAAGCTCTTAGCCACCAGTTTTAGTCAAAGAGGCTAACTACTGACGTCGCTCATACGCCGCGAGCAACCGGTAATGTTTTTTCGGCGTACTTTGTGTGAGGTTGCGTTTGACTTTTCACTGAAAAAGTATGTATGAACAGAAATTTAAGGTCAAAGTCTCAGAAAGAGTTCAAGGTTCAATGCAAGAAGTCATATTCACTGGATATGGTAATATACCATACGTAATATTCAAATGAATAGTTTACAATTAAAAATTGAGGAATCAAAAAGATATTTTTGCAAGGAATTTTTAATTAATCTAAAAGCTTTAAATATTAGAGGCTTCACATTCACATTCAGATAAAAGGAAATGAATTCAGAGAAATCAAATTTTAGGAATTCTTTATAATATTTATTTTTAATTCCTGTTAACAAGACAATGACATACAGACGAATATCTATGTATATAACTAATTTATTAAGTTATAAATATTTGCAAATTTTATTTCAATAAAATTTTCCTATGTTATTATTGTTAAAATCTGCAAAATCCTTTATAAATTGAATTAATTTTGTTATTGGAAACTTCGAGGCAGTGGCTAGAAAGTAATTAAATCAAAGCCCAAAAACCATTGAGAAAGCTGTGGTGGTGGTGGTGGTGAATTGTTTTTACTTGAGAAGAAGCGTAGGCAGCAATCTGTCCAAGTCTTCTCCTCAGTCATTTAAATTTGTGATGTGCACAATGGTACTAACATTTCAAAATTTGAAATTTTAATCCTAACGATATTTGATTGGACAATAGCATTGTTCAAATGAAACTGCTGCGAAAGGATGTCCTACAATTGAAATAGCCAGTGTCAGGAAGAGCCTTGAAAGTGCCAGACCAGTAATTAAGTTGCCTATTTGATTATGGCCGTGAAATTTGTCAGTACCATTGGCAAAACAAGAGCGAATATTTTAGGCAAATAATCGGCTTAAATCCATCATTTGAAAATAGAATTTCACTGAAAATGCTTAGAGAGGATTAAAACTGCTTCCACAAATCGGCCATTATAACACGCACATATGTATAAATAATAATATTGAATAATTTTTAGTAACTGAAAATAGCTAGTAGGTGAATATAATTTGTATGTTGGATGGAAAGGTATGGGGGTTTTATGGGCTTGTTTATTTTACATTGAAATTGAAATCATGGTATGAGTTCAATATTATTTCATTTCCATTTATCGAACATTTCTTATATTTTCATATACATATTATTTTACATTTACAACGTTTTCATTCAATTTATATAGTATTAATTCTGTTTAATGACATGCATAGCATGTCATTATTAGTTTAAAAATTATCTAAAGTTTTTTTGATTTTTTGGAACAAGAAGCCAAATATTGATTAAAGTTTCAGGTTTAAAGTTTAAGTTAAATTTATTAAATTTAATATTATAATTAGTCTAATTTATTATTTTTTGGAATAAAAATGTATTTGTATAATGTAAAGAGAGAGAGTTTGAGATACATTCACCTTAATACAATTGTAATTTGCATGTCAACATTGAAAAACTATTCCTCAATCTCATACCACTTCATTATTTCCAAATTTATTTAAGAACGAAAGCATATTGGTATGATAATATGGTTGAAAATATTCGGATATTTTATTAAAAAAAAATCATTATTCGAATAAAAGAAAACCATATAAACAATATAAAGATTTTGCATCATCATCATCCGTTTTTATCACATGACCACCAAAGAGCGCTAAGCGTTCATATATCTGAACGACATAATTGTTGAAAGTTTAAGTTGCATAAAGAATATTGTAGGGAAAGTAAAGAAAGCATAGAAAAAAAATGAGAAAGCAAAAAAAGAAAGAAGAAGAAAGGAAACAAAGAAAGAAGAAGAAAAGAAACAAACACAGAAGAAGAAAGGACAGAAAGAAAGAAATATTATTAGCAAAGTAATTATCACTACATGAGGTTACCTGAATAGGAGGAATCTTGTTAGTTAAGGGCGATATACACCCGCTAGATTTATCGAACTTGTTCCTTAAAGGTGGTCCTTAAGGTCTAGCATTCGAACTGTGACTTATTTAAAGTATCGCAACAGATCATTACTTTGATGTACAAGGTTGCCACTCCAACTTAACCTAACATGTAATAAGACTTGCGTTGAATGCGATTAATGCTTCAGATTTCTACCTTTAGGTTAGTCCCACTGACTTGTCGTTGAACAGTTCTTTATATATAGTCTTTTCATACTAAGGTCAATATTTGTGCTCAATTAGGCTTTGGCGAACAAGGCTACCATCTCAATTTCAACTAACCTGTCATTAGACAGTCATTTATGGTTGGCTTCATTAGAAAAATTGTGGATTCGAAA